CCGACATACTCATTACTGATCAAGGAACACATTTTAATAACGAATTATTACACGCTCTTTCTAATTTAATCGGCTGCAAACATATATTCTCAACACCATATCATCCTCAAACAAATCGACAAACTGAACGCTGGAAGTCAACATTTGTAACACAAGTGGCTAAATTCTGCAATGATGATCATAATAATTGGGATACTTATTTACCATCTATTATTTATGCATACAATCATGGTGTACACTGTTCTAGTGGATATACCCCTTATCAGCTTGCATTTGGGCGTCAACCAGGCAACTCATTCGATTCTCCCAAATCCACCTTCATATTTAGTAGACCTAATGATTATTGGATGGAAGTCATGAAATGTCGACGTCTCGTCTTGCAACAAGCGCGAGCTAACATTATCCATCAGCAACAATTAGCCAAAACTCGTTTTGACAAGAATCGATCGCATCCAACTTATAAAGTAAATGATCTCGTTTGGATGAAAATATTCGGAGGACGAACTAAATACGATGCTTGCTACACCAATCCAACAAAAATTATTCGCGTTCTTTTCTCGGCATCTTTCCTTGTCGAAGACTCAAATCGTCAACAGTTTCAAGTGTATTCGAACAATATTCGCCGTGTTTATTCGCGTTGATCATCTTAACCCTCGCAATCTTTGTTATTCAAACAACAACCGTCATCGAACTTTAAATATCTGCACGTTTCTATTCGCATTTACATTATCATATGTTTATATCTAGATTTCATTCCATCTACTATCAAGTTATTTCTTGTCGAACACTTTTATTTTATGCCAATCTAATCTTCATTTCACCATCACTTCATCTTATTCCGAGACATTTAGTTAATCGTTATGGGTGTATTCTTTATACTGTGCGTGTTCCTCACCTTTTCATCTACTATGCCGTTATTGGATCGCCCAATAACAGTGTCCTTTGAAACAAAGTATGATAATAATCACAATGAAATTAAACAACTTCTGACGCAAAACAAAAGTTTCGATACTACTAATTGGACACATTATACCCTGTTTCTACAATTGGTTGTCAATATTATCGTCATTATTATTTTTTTAGTTTATGCTTACAAACATTGCTGTCCAATCACCACTTTACCTCGTAACATCGAACAACAACGTTTTGTTACAGCTTTGCCTCCTAGCTCTTCACCACCTTATCAACCACCTTATGCTCATCAGCCCTCGTCAATGCATCAAAGCTCTCATGAACAAGCTATGTTATCACAAGCTCCAACTGCTGCAATTGTATCTTAATTCCCTATTCGTGAATCATTAGAAACATTCGCACATTAATTCTTTCTCCTTCAAAAAAAAAACAAATATACACGTTGCTCAGCATTTCTTCTTTCTATGATCGTACATTTTTTCTTTCTTTTTTTAGTTATGAGCCTTTATATATACCTCGCGTATCAGTACTATACGCAATGCTTTCAGTTTCGTTATTTGTTCTTTTTTTTCTCTCTTTTGTACTTCATCATTTGTAACACATTTTTCTTCTCTCTCTTTCTATGACCTTCTTCTGGGTGGGGGAGGTGTTATGTCAGGAGATGTCTCTCCTAACATAAGAAGGCCCTCTTTATCTCTCTATCGTATTATGGAGTTATACAATTGGTATTCGGTTAATGGAAGAGAACAATGGATGAGTAAGAAGGGAGAGAGAGACATTCTTTCGTGCTTTTTTTGTTTGTTTGTTGTTTTTTGGGAAAGAAGAAGCAATAATAATAAAGGAATGAATGAGAAGTTCTAGCAGGGAGGTTGTCTGTAATGTTCTCTTCCGTTACTATGGTCTATAATGGGGCCTGTTTGTAAGGGGAGGGAGGGGGAGCCGCGAAACCTTGACCTTAAAACTTACACTCACTATTTTCTTCGAAAATATATGTGAGTTCCACAAAAGCGCACTCCGCGATACCACTACATCTCAGGCTACTCATAGGTAAAAGTTGATCTCTCTCTTTCAAAGTTAAAAGAAAAGGTGATGTGACGCTTCATAAAGAAGCGCATCGTCTCCGGAATCTAGCTCGATACGAACTAAAAAAGTTTCAACAAGATCAACTGGCTAAACATCTAAAAGAACGGCATAGACCTAGTGAAGATTGAAATCTATCCTAGAGCAAAACAAAAAGGCATTTCAAGCTAACGACTTCGTCTTTAAGATGTCTAATACTGCCAAATGATGACGCTACAAAAGATCCTCAAATAATGGCAAGCACAGCTGCTGATTACTATGAACGTTTATTTGCCGCATTCATACGTAGATGCACCGAACATACAGCGGGATAATTTCCATGATCAGATTCCGAATGTAATATAACCAGAACTACTTAAAGTCTTATCGACGAGAAAGAAAAAATACTTCTGTGACATTCATGGGTTATCTTCATTCCTGCTGAAACAGATACCTCGAAATTATTGGAACATGTTAGTATCGTTTTACAATTACTCTTTTGCTATCTGTTTTTTGCCGAAGAAATATAAAGAAGTATGAATGATTCTGCTAACAAAGAAGGATGCCGTATGTTCACTCGATCAAACAAGACCTATCTCACTACTGGACTCCTTATTAAAAGTACAAGAAAGACTTTTTCATGATCCTTTTATTCAGGTTTTAAAAGGCTAAGGTATTCTGCCCGATAATCAATCAGGCTTCCGAGCATGCCATCGTCTTCAGACTCGTGTACTCTTGTTGATAGAACAAACATCTTCGTATATGTCGAACAGTGCTTCAGTGGCAATAGTCTTCGTCGATTTTAAATCAGCGTTCGATCAACTATGGCTCGATGGCTGCCTAGGGAAGTTGCTACGATTAGGTATCCCACTTGCATATGTGAATAGGATTAGAGCATGGTTGGAAGATCGTCACGGTATAATAGAAGTACAAGGTAAAAGGTCGAGATGGTTCCCTATTAAACGGGGTGGTCCACAAGATTCATGATTTTCTCCAACTCTTTTCATCACCTATCCTAGTGACATGGCAGATTTTATTCCCATGGCCATTTCTTTCTTCTTTGCAGATGATCTTGCGGCCGTAGTTGCTGGACAAATTGGGATCAAATTTATAGACCAATGTATTGATATGGAGCGACGTCTAAACAATCTGCTGGAGCATCTGAAGTTTTATTCGATACTAGCGGTTCAACTCATTAATTATTCAAAGACAAAGGCCATATTTTCGGCTCGCGCCATCAACTACCTGACTCATAAGCCGGTACTTCGCTTTGTAAGCTGTACTATCGAATGGATTTCATCATTTAAATAGCTTGGTTACTGGTTAACAAGCAAATCAGGATGGGGGAACATGATAGGATGAGCTCGTCTTCGAATTCGTCAACAAACAGGATTAGTCAATTCAATTAGATTTAGTAGTACCTCTTCAACAGCGCTACGGCGAACATTGTTTTCTACATTTGTTCTTCCTATGTTTACGTGATTGTTTGCTCTATACTCCATGTTCACTAGCTGCCAGCAGTCGGGACTAAATCACTATTACTATACTTCTCTTAAAAGAGTACGGCGCTGCAATTATTGAGAGGACTTTTTCTTTGCATCTACGTATAATGAACGGTCACTGGATGACATGTGTTATAGCTATTCCTAAGTCACTCGATAAACGGCTATTACTAGAACAGCAATCATTAGATGCTCATAGAACTAGATGGCACAAATGTGATTCAAGCATTCGCTGTTTAAGAAGATCAAAACGTTTTATAGACCATATGGATATAATTGTTTGCTATAGCAACAAGATGGATGATAGATCATGGTACAGGGGACTCCGTGGTCTTGCTGGATAAAAAGGAGTATTTATGTTTTGCAGAATGGTCAGAAAGCTTTTAATGTATCTACAGTGAATACCTTCTTTTCTCCTTCTCTTTCTCTAACTTCCTTTCTCTTTTCTGCGTATCTTCATTTGGTATTTTTCTTTTTATATTACATTGTAATTCAGGCATGTATCCCTTTAGGACCGCCAAGGTTAGAGGGTTAAATAAAGCAGTATAGAAAATAATTCATATAAAAAAGAAGAATAAAATAAAATTGATTAAAAATAAATAATAGAAATAGAATATTTTCATATGTTCTTTATCAATACTAATCAAATTGAATCTAAAACAAAACAATATCTTAAATTTAAAAAAAAACACTACTGAACGAGATTTACAAAAAAAAAATTTAATTCGAAATAAAAGTTAAAATCTTTATGAAAAAAAGTCATTTAGTACAAATCAATAATTTGATGTTAAATGTGTTCATGAGAATACTGAAAAAAAAACCATTCTTATCGATCTATAATTCATTTTTATGAATTTTTTTCTTCGTTCTCATCTGGTTTCTTTAGGGTTCGGTGTCGGTCTTCTCTTCACATTTACCGACACCCAGACATTTTACGAGTGAAAGAAAGCTAAGTATAAAGTATTTTAATGTTTTAAACGAAAAAAAAGCAAGTGCAATAGAATTGCAGTCTATTGTGTTTGAATGATGCTAATTCTATCATATTGTCTAAAATAAATGGCAATAATAATATATTCTTCTAGAATTCTGTGAAGCATACACGCGCTCTACGTATACAATACTATTACTACAGAACTTGAGCATTACTTAAATATAACTGAAGTAATATTTAATGCTTCATATTTTCAATAGTTTCTGATTATCTGCCGGTTGAAAGTCAATGAACACTATAATGCACTTGTCTAAATGCAGACAATACTGTGAGTTTGTTCATATTTAAGTACTTGGAAAGTGTTAAAATTCATTTAATATAGTGCTAATTTAAAAAGCGTCGTAAATACCTTTCAAACGATTAAAAAGTGTTGAAATGAATTTAAGACATGCTAAAAGGTACTAATAAGTAAAGTCATTTTAATTACTATCTGGAGACTCAGAAGTATAATAAAGTGCTTTAGAACGTGTAAAGATTAATATAACAGATTTCATAAATGAAAAAATTTTATTAAGTTCTTCTAAAAATGCAGATTGCACTAACGTTCACTAGAAACATGAAAAATAGTAAGCAAATGTAATTTACTTTACTTTATTAATATTGAAAATAGCGAAAAATCTATTTTTTTTTAACTTTATTTTTACATGGCATCCGTCGTTTTCCTATTTCTAGCTTTGTTGATTCATTATTTCGCAACAACTTTCCTCAATAAAACGGGTACGTCGCATTGCTCAGAAAATCCAAACACTGGCATTATCAAAACAAAATAAGCAGGGTGCACTTAACATTATTACAAAGAAAATATTGCATGAGAGTCGATCAAATGAAAAGAACGATGAATAAAAAAGACTTTGTCACGAATCGAAATTAATGAAAAAAATCTGAGAAAAAAATCTATTGCTGAAAAGTTAGTCATCGCTCGGCATTTACCGCTTTATTATCGTATTGATTCATCACAGTTCATTACCGTCATTGTTGCAACTTCTAGCGACAAGGATCTCTTGTCGTTGTCAGTAGCACGAGGTAATGTATCTGGTTGAGTACAAGAGCGATTGTTCTGATTATTGGAACAAATTCAATCCTGATTACTTTTATCAAAATTTCTTTCACAGAGATACCGAAAACTATGCTAATTACAAGTGCTTGTATTCGTATCAAGTCTTACTATATGCTTTCAGCATTCCTATGAAAAAGAATTTCGTGTAACTTCTAAATAGTGTCTCATGCAATTTTTTTCTCTTCGGCTGTCGAGAACGGAAACATTAGGAGGCCTAAAATTAATTTCATTGAATGAATGGAAACATTTGAAAAATATGACTATTACGGGCACTGCCCTCACAGTATGTTTTCTTTCTCTTCTCTCTATTTTCCTGGACGTGATATCTTTGATCATATATCATCATCTCTTTCTGTTCGTTAAAACCCTTAATTCGTGTGATTATACAGGGTGTCTCGAAATTATAAGACTCATATTGAGTTTCGAGAAAAATAAAGATTTCCTTAACTAACAAGAGTTTCATTTCAAATCTAATGTCATATCCGTGGATACCTGGTAGCAGTCTATCGTGTGCCATATTGGTTTAAATTAGATCGATTAGCATTAATGAATAAATTCAAAAAATTTGAATTTCAGCTGTGTCATAATCATAAGACCCCCCCCCCCTCCCAACATAAAACTATTAAATTAACGTTAACTTTACCAACTCAAATGATTGTCTTGAGGATCCATTCAAAAGAGGAGGCACTCAGCTATATGCTGAACAAAAAGTAGATTGTCAAAGAGTAGTTTAACTTTCCTACCATTCAAGAAATTAAA